ATCTGACATGGGCAACTACACCTTCTTACTGGGATACGTATTTCACAGCTTGCTCAATACAATATTATGTTGCCAAGTTATGTATCTTTTGAGCCAGCAGTCTGAGGAGATACTATAGAATATTTTGTCATAAAATAGAGGTCGGAATAGAATATAAAACTGTGATATTTTTGGTGGTTTTCCTTATTATCTGATCTATCAGTTTCACTATAAAATATTTTGTTACATCGGGGTGTGCTGTCCGCTGCAATGCTGTACATCGTAGATCGTTTTGGCAAATTCGCAACCGATTAGGCCTGTTGCCAAAGTCATTTCAATTTACGAATTGATGCAGTGAATTAAAAAACGTACAGATAACGATCGAGACATCGAAACTCTGTTAGTGTAAGTTATCTTACTAATAACATGCGAAAGTTTAAATGGATGGATGTTTGTTATGTGGTATCTCCGGAACCGCTTAACATATCTCGATAAAATTTGGCAGAGATATGGCATAGTCGAAAAACGCATAAGTTTTCTTTCAATTTCCCGCGAACTGAGTCTACAAAAGCAACTTAATATTACAAATAGGTAGTTACAAATATTTAAATGATCAAATTATTATGAATTACCTATATGATATCCATTTGTCTATCTCGTTCCGGTCTATTCAAAAAAACCTTTTTGAAATACAATTTCATCCAATGAAAATATCTCGAGCTTGTTACGTAAAGAGTTTTGAATTGAAAAGCTCTTAAAGCTTTTAAAGCCAGCTTTAATTACGTCAATAGGTCAGTTTCAAGTTAACGAAGGCAACTAGCAAAGGCTTTGACGGTAGGAACGGAAATGGCCCTGGATTATTTTCAAGTCTATTCAACGTTTTTAACCGGTAATTTTGTCCATAAATATGCAAACTTTTAACGCATTAAGTTAATGTTATTAATTGCCAAGTAAATAAATTAATAATGCGGATACAGATAAGTTAAAGTACGTTAATAAATCGAAGATTCATGGAATTATGAAATACTTTGTAATCTTTTAAGTTGTTTTAGTTCACGAGTTCATATCTTACTAATATTATAAATGTAAAAGTTAATATTGTTTGTTTGTTTGTAGCCTAAACTGCTGAATGGATTTTAATCAAATTTGATATAGATATAGAGGATAGTCTAAAAGACCACATAGCCTTGCTAATTTTCTTAAATCCACTCGGACGGAGTCGCTGGCGAAATCTAGTCAACATCTCCCCTGCCTTATCCTAGTATTCTGACAAAATAGAAACACACTGTAATTTAGCAGAGTGTTTTTACGAACGACTTGATGATAACAGAGGGCGCTTGGATGAGGATATTCGCAATTTGTTTAGTAAAATGTGACACCATCTGCAAATTGAAAATGTCACCTTTTTGCCGCAAGGGAAATCAACTCCTTAGGTCTAGGTGAAAGGGTAACGTGGCAAAGGTTATTTTAGCTTAAGTGAAAAAGCTATTTTAACCACTGTGTAA